AACAGAAAAAGAAGAGAAAGAAAGAAGAAAAGAAGAAAAGAAGAACGTAATAAATAAGAAAAGAGGAAACCTTCACAAAGACACAAGGAAATAAAGTAATTAAAGACAAGAAACACGGAAATAATGAAGAAAGGAAATGAAGTAAATGTAAATGAGATACCTGATAAAAGGAGTATAGCTTGAAAAAAACAACAGAAAATAAGAAATAAAGAGCCCAGCCTCGTTAACACGGGAACATCTTGGCGCACCCAAAGCGACTATGCGTCTAACGGCGCGTGTGGGGCACGTAACCCAGAAAAATAAGGTTGCTGCCACCGACTGCGCGTGTCCAAAATTCCTTCGAGCGATCTCCTTCCGCGAGATCTTCAGAAATGCCCGTAAAACTTATCCAGCACGTTGATGTAACGGGAAAATCCAGAAGGTATCTGGATGGCCGGCAGATCGATTGTGAGGTCGACCTATCTCGTACCGGCTCGCTTTCACGTGGTACAGAAGACCGTGAATATGAAAAACGAACTACGCATATCCTGTCCCATTAAATAAGTAGGACTTTTCATACACGTTTAATGGTATTAAATACTTATAATTTTCACAAAATCCAAGAAGAAAGAAACGTGTGTAGCATACATGTGGAGATATTATAAATACGTACAAAATTTTAATACGTAAACATGAAGGGAAGAGATGATTTGGACATGGAACTCGTACAATAGGGCACGACGTGTGGATTGGTATCAACCAGCTCAGAATGTGTACCAGCGGCAAGGTATTTGAGACACAGTAATGAACATTCGAGTTTCATAAAAGTAATTTATTCAACGCCTGACCGATTATTAGCTTCAAAAGAAATATTTGTGTTACAAAACTTCAAATTCAAGATAGAATAAAACTATTAAATGTAATCCTGGGGTCTCGGGTTCGATTCCCGGCGGTGCCCGAATTTATAACTTGTGTTGGGCAAGGCCGTGGTCTAGGCAACACGGAGTTTTCCTCTGGGGGCTTCCCCGGTTTCTCCGTGGCATCCCAACAATTACTCCATTCACACACAGAAGAAGGCAATGGCAAACCACTTCTGGATCATCTGCCAAGAACGTATATGAACAGGTCCCAGTACGAGAAAAGGATGGAAGGATCCTGTTCATATGGACCTGTCGTCAGACAGAACACTAAATAAATATAAAAAATCATTAGGCCATATTCGAAAGTTTTAGACGAAGCAAAACGGGGCTATTAGTTCCAGCAGTCGATTGACTCGTTCACAAATGTGTGACAATTACGGTTAATCTAAAATGGAGTAATTATTATGTTTTATATTGCAGTATATAAAAATGTGATAGGCGATATCGTCTCTAATCAATTTAGTGCGAAAAAATTATATTTTGGCGATTAAATAACATATTTCTGTGGCTAAAATTCTAAGCAAGCATATGTAAAATTGTATTTAATTATTTATAAAATTAGACCTAATGAAGGCGTCTTGAATTCGCAATTATTTTTATAAGACTATTGTTACGAAGCAGATGTTCAGCACGTTTAAACATCGGCCACACTACACTGAATTAAAAAAACAAGAAACATGACCGTGTAACGACGTAAGAATCTTCAGTAATATCATCAAGTTTCCGAGATGTTCATGGAGCCATGATGAGTCTCCACGCAACGGATGTACCTTGCGTTAATTTCTAGAAACCTTTTTCCTGTGCTTGTGTTTTTAATTGAAATACTTCATCATATCCCACATATGAGTCATGCTCCATATATTAGGTTGTAAACATCCTTATTATTACCACCTCCAGGACGCAAATAAAAACGAATTTCATATAAAACGTTGAACTGAGTAGTAAGAAGATCAAACGTATTCCGTCTTCACGAGTTACAAACACATCCGTTATAAACAAATTGAAATTAAGTGAAGTTTAAATAAAATAACATGGGTTTTAAATTGTGTGTTTTGGTGCAAGTGATCGTTCTATGTGCATATTCGAACACCACATTGGCGGATAATAATTACACTTCTTCATGGGAAACGAACCTCAACTCTTTAGGATTATCCCCACTTTATACATTATACAACAAGTGTGTGGATATAAATGTCAATAGATCTATTGAGGAATGTCTCAGTACACAATTGGTCATTCTTCTTGACGAAATGTTACATCAACAACGGATTCCTCTTATCGAAGGTGTTCACCTTGTTGGTAAACAGCAGAGTTCAGGGAGATCGTCTTCGGAAGAAAATCCTTTAACAGAACAGACTCTGGAATCGTTGCTACCAAAAAGCATCGATTCTCGACAAGAAATTCTGGACAGTCTCATGCTTTATAAATTGTTCAATTTCTTCAAGACCCACAGACTTCAAGTTGATTTACCTAGTGGTAGAGCCGCCCGAGGTAACTGTACATGTTTACATACGTCCGCAATCTTTCAAATGGTTAGAAAAAAATGCAGATATAATATTCCTTAAAAACAGAGGGCAGACAATCGTGACCGACTTCTCAACAAGGACTTTGCCATATTAACTAAATTTAGTCTTAATTTTACTGTCTTCTGGTTTGTTGCGCCGTGTAGACAGATATACGTTTACTGACATCACAGATAGAGACAGTAAGCGCCTCTGAAACGTCTGTAAACTTTTACCAGACTACACAGCGTTACATCCCAGAAGACAGACATCTTCGTATATTTTTCAGTTTGTCTGTAGAGTCACTGTGTCTCGCGAGCTTCATCTCTTTCCGTCTTAAAGCGAGAGATGGCTACTCAAAAGCGTTCAATTGGAAGGCTAATCGCAATATAGTAACTGAGTAAGCTCCAGGAACTTAGTAATTAATTTGCACAACAGAGGATGGTGCAGAAACCTGCCATCGTTAGCCTAGTAGTTGTTTAAAGTATCAGATACAGCTTATTCACTGAATGGCTATGAGTTGAGCATCACGGAGTTTGATTCCCGGCAGAGATATGCTTTCATCTTTTCCCCGTCCACGTAACATTGGGACCATTTGAGAATCCTACAAAGCGGACACCGGATAAAGGTCTGACGGAGTGTGAATGCTGACAACTCACCTCCGTCCAGAAGTAAAATGTGTGCGTTCTTTTAAATCTTTGGTACTGAACTGATCAAGAAATTCTGAGATTTTTTTGAAAACGTAATTTATGGTCGTGTCTGTGTAAGCCCCACACTAGACCCTATTTTGAGCTACAAGATCCATTTCAATGCAATCACATAACCTACGCTTGGCTTATCGAAGTAGCTAATATCTTCTACTGAAGTTTTCCCATTAAAATATTGTACACGTTCTGACTTTACGTGCAATTACGTGTGTAATTAATATGTTATAAAGGCATAATTATATTATTTGATATTTGCACTAATTATAAAAATCATCTTTGTGTAATTTTCTGTATTTTCTGATGCTTTTAAGTTCTTCTGTTCAAATATTCTTCTCAGAACGCTATTTCCAGATGACCCCTCACTACGTTCCCCCTTTACGCTGAGATAATAGAGAATATAGAATATAGAAATAGTCAAATTAGTGATTTATATATATATACTTTAATATAAGTAGTTTTAGATTAAACAAAATGTGACAAAAGAGATGAATCTTAACTTGTATTTATCCATTTTAATAGTAATATAATTTTAATTCAGTCATATATATAAGTTTGATTCGTCATTATAAGTTGTACTTTACGCTAGTACGTAGTTTAAAATATTTAAACAGGAACCAATGTGCTGCTTTTAAAACTCGAAATTTCCCACGGGAAATGGTTCCATCTTAAGAGAATTGTTTCTTGCAGCTATGAAGATAAAGAAGCTATTGCTACCTTTCCTCATGGGCGTGGTTCTGAAGGCCGTGTCCGTCGTCCCTATTGTACTCAGCGTTATGGGCGTCATTGCAATGCAGGCTCTGTTCGCTGGAAAGGCAGCTCTCATTCTCACTGGACTTATCGGTAAGATAACCTCAAATCTTATTATTATTTAGTGTTCTGTCTGACGACAGGTCCATATGAACAGGATGCTTCCATCCTTTTCTCTTCTCGGACTGGGACCTGTTCATATACGTTCTTGGCAGATGATCCAGAAGTGGTTTGCCATTGCCTTCTTCTGTGTGTGAATGCCACGGAGAAACCAGGGAAGCCCCCGGAGGAAAACTCCGTGTTGCCTAGACCACGGCCTTACCCAACACAAGTTATAAATTCGAACCCGAGACCCCAGGATTACAAGGCCAGCGTTCTAACCGCTAGACCACCGTGGTTATTCCTCAAATCTTACGGACAAATAAATGAACTGCTTCGACATAGCTACCAAATACGAATCTCTGGAAAAAGTAAAATGGTTAGTAATAACGGCGTATGTTTCTAGGTTAAAATTAATAAATTTATCCAGTTTAATCATGGACCCAAACTGCTTGATACATTTATGAAAATTATAACAATATTTTAATGTTCTAAGGCTTGTAGGAAGTATCGATTTTGGATTAATTCTGAGGCAAATCGTTTGAGACACACATTATGACTTCACTGACGCGGAATTAGTTCATTGTAAGGCCTTTGACGTTTCAACGTATTGCCGAAGATACATTGAAAGAATTAATACTAGTAGGCAAAGCTCGGTATGTGATAGACTCTGGTATGAAACGACTGGGTTTAATTACAGAAAAATACGGTGTCCAGAGAAGGATTTAAAGTCGATGTCTAAACATTCGAGTTATGTAAAAGAGTGAGTGTTATCACTCTTTAAATGTCACGCATATTTGTAGTAAGTACAACTCCATTTTGGAATGTGTCAGTCTTGTGTGTTCAGATTTGTTCTACACGCCACTTCCATGTATTTTCATAACACAAGCTCTGTGAATTACATATCCACTTTTAGAGGTCATTATGTGAGATAGCAATGTACATTTACCTTATTAATTTGAAATAAGCCCGTATTTTGAGAGTGGAATGTCGCTGGGAACACGTTTTAAAACACCAAAGGTTTAAGTAATAAACTAGAGGAACGTTTTATTTCTTAAAGTCAAAAAACTGTCAGAAGCCGAAGGCAGCTAAGTTCAGAAGTGCATTTGAATTAATTAGGCTTTTTACCTCAAAATAGTGTTCACATACTTGGTTGTAACATAAATTTGTTATCTTTCCGTACAAATTTTCAAAATAAAATGAACCTAGACATATCACTTATCATATAATAAGAAATTTATCTTTATTTCGTTTGTCGGTATTGTATATTGAATTTGTATAGACGTCGAAGTTTTCAATTTTTTTTAAAAATATTTAATATTATTGTGTTTTATATCTTGTGTTGTAAACTACTGCTAAAAACGCTAGATAAAACATGAAGATATGAATGTGTTATGATAAAATTACTGCCAGTAAATATTATAGCTACTTTTAAAGATTTCGAGAATGTATTCGGTGATATTAAAAATGAAGACTAGGTATGTGTGTCATATTTGACGCATTGCAACCTCTCTCTCTCTGCGGTAAAACATATCTCACTCTTCCGTGTAGTTTGATTCCAACTTTAGTTATATTCTCACACTGTCTGCCCTTCCTCAGGTCTTCGCAAGTTTTTGCTGCATGGTAACTACAATGGACAAAACAAAGTTACGAACTACATCCATCACGATCTGAACACATCTCCTGGCCGCGGTGTGGCAAACCTATTGCACAGTTTAGGAGTGGATCACCAATATGACGGCTACGGATACAAGGACTCTCACGAAGCAGTCAATAGTCAGGGAAATGGATTGTATGGACGCTCGTTCACAGATTCACACAATGGATCCGTTAATACAGAGAAACAGAGATCCTCAGAACTGGAAGAACACAGATTAACAACTACAGGAAGTCATCGACGGATCCAGAATTTTCACTATCCAGGTCTTACAAAAACAATAGTCGTTTCTGCCTGAGTTCTACCCTTTAATGAAACATATTATTCTATTAATTATTAATAAAAATCAAACAAATTCTCTGGTAGTTTTTCCCGAAGGAGTGACATTAAAAATATTAAACTCGATAGATGGAAACGATTCACACACAATCTTCACAAAATATATATCCTTAATCTCGGTTTTTCAAGCGGACGTTTCTAAAGATTTTCCAAAAAAAAATTTTTAAAAATTCTTAAATTATTTCTTAGCCCTTCATCGCCTCCATTATTTCACTATTCTAACTAATAATTCACAGTTTATATGAAACTGTGTTTACACAATATTACCTCAAAATCAGCACTCAGTTATGACAGTAAAATTTGGATTCTAACCAGAGGAGGTACTCAAATGCGCTTTTTAAGACGACTAATAGGTTTTACCAGGCTAGACAATCAGAGGAATGCTCATATTAGAGAAAAACGTTACGTTCTAAAAACTGTTGAAGAAATACAAAATAATATAGACAAAATTGGAAAGACAATTTGCAAAGAATAGACAGAAATAGGCTTCCAGAACTGGCATTCACAAACAATTCTAGGCGACCTGTATGATTACGAAGAAACTTGTTTTGTATAATAATATCCTAAATTGACAACTTCAATCATTTCCAAAAGGTTTTTCTAACTCGGTTATGAATGCTCCATGATTGTTGAAAACGGTATTTATGACAACCGTCAAATTGTAAATATATTTAAAAATTGTACCTTTATTTAACCAATGCATAAAGTTTAATTATATAACAAATTAGTAAAATTTACTTCCTATCATTTGCAGCTAATCTTAATTAAAACAGTTACATATTTATAAAATCCAAAAACAAAATTTACATTTCCTCTGAATACCTAACCTTTCATTCATTCCGCCAGTCTGTCCTCATGATTGTCTAGAAGCAGTGGTGGTATACGTGCGATAAAATTAATTGATTAATGAAATATTTTCTTTACAAATACGTTTCTTAAAGATTCTAAGAATATAGATTTGTACATTTTAAAATGTTGGTGCATTTAATTCCATGAATGCTATTAACGAGATAAGTCCCTTCGAAAGATAATCTTATTTTCTCTATATTTTGCGTTTGCTTAATTGGAACTTGGAACGAGGATTAAAAATCCCTACAAACTTAGATTATCCTATTTTGAAAATACAAGATACGGTATACCAAATAAAAAGTGTAGCATGGAAGGAGTTTTTTAATTTTTGCAACAACAATTATAAATAGTCAATTTGAGAATGATGTTCTTTTGGGGTTTTGGCAATGTGTAGATGCCTTGAAGGTGGACACAAAATGTTTCTCCGAAATGTTGACTTCTATGACACTACGCCAAATAACGGATGAAGTAACATAAATAAAATTATTTATTAGAAAGACTGTTAATTTGTAAGTTGACATTTGCAAACATAATTATTCTGGAAAATTTTGAGAGTTTCTCTGAAACATTTAACGTGTAACTAATGAAGTTACCTAAAATATAATAAAATTAATATATATTATTAATACCAATAATATCGTAACATTTTTAAAAATGCAAATAACAGTAAAAACTAACCAAAGCTAGATTCGATAGTACGACCACTGTGCAATAGACCATAACGTTAACTAACTACATTCCTTCATCGGAACAAACCCCAATACAGTTCCCTCTGAATACAATCACTCTCAGATTGCGGCCATAAATTCCTCGGAACAGAAATTTCCTATGATATTTCAAAGCGAATCACGAAACGCTTCGCCCCTGTTAGCTGCAATCCGCCACACATCTGTAGAAACAAAAATGTATCGATAAGCGTTATAAGTAACGCCTACTGAGGTAAGTCAGTACTTACCAGAGATTCGGGGAGGTGTGGGCTTGTTGCTTGTTGCCGTCAGCGGTATAAATGGCGACGATTGAGACCCAGACTGGAACAGCAAAGTAACGTATTATTGGTAGAAGTTTTCGTCTTAAAATAGAAGCGTTGTCGAGAATGATCTGTGTACAGTAACAGGTAAAATTTAAAGACGTCTAATATAAAAGTTGCAGATCCACACTTTTTACGGGGCTAGTAGAGTCTTTGGTCATGATAGCGTTTTCTGCATTTCTTTTTCCTTTAACAAAGCATCTCGCACGCAGACATAGTTAAGTATGAATACAATCACCAGACTTGTCAGAGAGTGTGGAAGGTAAGTACACACAGAAAGAGGTGTGTATAATCGCAATTTACCGCGTTTTATGACATCGTGGAAAGGAGTTGTGTTTAGTGTTGACATAAAAACACCTCTGACCCTGCAAAGAACACTATCTTGAAGCATGAGAGTAAAATATTTCCAAGAATTTTATCAATTTATTATGTGCATCCATCCACAAGTCCACGGTGTGCTGGAGATAATCTCAGCAAAAGATATAATATTACATAAATTTTTATGTTCAAGTATATAATATAATAAAAGATAGAAATAATATATTCAGTGTCGGTAAAAATAAATATTTTTTACTTATATAATTATTATTAACATATTAATAATTATAGTTATGTTTTAACGACGATGTCAGGAACTGTTTTTATATAAGCGTCTAATATTATAATTATTAAAAAATAAACTGAAAAATATATGGAAGGGAGCGGTCCTTGCCTAATTTTCGATTAATTCATAAGCTTACTCAAAATAACTTTCGAAATATCTCAGTCAGCTTAGCTGGTGTCCGGTTGCAATTTTGAACTTTCAGAACAAGAAGTAGGACTGCTAATCATTAGCCTGATACCTTCAGTAATAATTACAATAATATAGGCTTAAATGTATCTACAAAAACACATTCAATTATTATTTTAAATGTTAC